TGAATGAAAAAAGTCACTATTTTTGTTCAGATTGTATCAAAAATGTAAATTTTACATCACTTTGCATATATTCAAAGGATCTACTGCTACGCTTCAGACAATTAATCTAATTATAAACAGTGGAAATAGGCATTTCTTTTAAAAATAAACTATTTGTCGTGGGGTAAATGAATGTAAGGAGTTTTACACTCATACTGCCTGATGATTTTGTTATTATTTATATACACTCACTTTATACTTATTATGTTCGTCAACTTGCAATTCCCCAGTCTACACCTTACAAATGTCTCTCGTAATCTCCACTCTCTAGGCGGCACGGTACAGTTTATTAAGTACTGGTTATTTACAAGAGAATACGATTCGAAAAGTGGGTTCGATCTCTACGATCGAACCTCATATTTATTTACTTTACTTTATTATGCATTATTACATCATCGACAATAGACTATACTATTACAGACTTTTTATTGTTTGCCATGCATTTGATCACGCTCATCGTTACACTAACAACATATTACATTGTTATCTACAATAATAATAATTAATTAATACCCCGGTACCAAATACATGTGTTACCAATTAATTTCCGTCATGAGCTAGACCCCATGACCTTTGTCTCGAAGGTCATTACCTTCTTCATCCAATGTACCCAATCGCTCATAAAAACCACCTGATTCAACATTTTTACTTAATTCATCAACTTTCAACATCTTTATTCTATTTCTTGTCACCGGATCCCTCAGATTAGTTCCATCCATTTCTTCAAGATAACTCTGTCCATGCTTTCCGACTTTGGTTATTTTGTAGGAACCGATCCAGCGATAATCAAGTTTCCTAGAACAAGTTTCCAGGGTCAAGTTATATACCAAGACAAGATCACCTGCGTTAACTGGCTCTCTTTTTTGGGCCCATTGGTCATGAAATCATTCCACTGTTCTCTCATTTCATCTCGATTCGATCATGCTTTCTCCAGGTCACCAACTAATCCTTTAATTTGCAAGGTCCTATATTCCAACAACTGATCGGTAGTCTATTGACTTCAGGAGATAAAGGTGTGATAACTTTCCATTACTAATTCAATTGGCATTATAGCATCCCTTCCATATACTAACCGAAAGGGAGAGTGTCCTAAGTCCCCTACTGTAGTGTTTATTGCTCAAATAGCACTTCGTACATATTTGTGCCAATGATTTTGTTGTTTAGCACAAAATTTCCTAATAATGCGAGTAAATTTTTGCACAACACGTTCTGCCCGCCCATTTGCTTCTGGGTGATAGCTGGCAACGAATCGTTAATCGACATTTAATTTTGATGAAAGTTCCTCCATAATTTTATTTTTGAACTCAGTTCCTCTGTCTGAAATTAAAGCTGTAAAACACCCATGGTGCAAGATTATTTCCTCCCAAATAAATTGAGCAATATTCTTAGCGTTTTTATGTACTAATGCCTTTCTTTCAACATATCCAGTCAAATTTTTGATTGTCAAGACTATGTATTCATGTCTAGCGACAGTTCGGGGCAAAGGCCCTACGCAATCAATATTAATTCTCTCAAAGATTCAACTTGTTGCTACAACATGTATTGGTTCTGGAGGTAGTTTCTATGCACATCGTTGGCACTTTATACATGCTAATACTACCATTTTCATGTTATCATACAAATTTCCTTTACCCTATACATACTTTAACTTTACCATACTCCCTGTCCTATTTATGCCTCGATGACCACTTTCAGAATTCAAACCTTCATGGTTTGCTATTATGATTTGGCATTTCTCACAGTCATCAAAGATTACTCATTTTGGAGAAGCACCCTTTCTAGATCTCAGGTACAAATTTTCACCTATTAAACAATACTTCTTTAATTTTCATTTTAACCGAGATAGATCACCTGACTTCACGTCGACTTTCCAATTCAAATATTGTAAATAGTACTTTATAGAGAGTAGGTTGTTAATTTGTAGACAATTATAGTCGACTCTATATAAAATTCTCTACAAAATCATCATCAGTATGTTTATTTTCTGCTGGTGAATTCGGGTAATGCAACATTTCATCAGCGTTACAATGTTTCTTTCCTGACTTATAATAAACTTGAAATTCAAATGACTATAGCGTTAAGACCTATCTCATTAATCGGCCCTTCAATTCCACCTTGTTAAATAACCACTCTAGGGCCTGATGGTCCACCCAAACATCAAATTTAGTTTCTCCTATGTATCTCTCATTCATGTGACATCCGAATACAATAGCCAGACATTCTTTTTCTGTGACTGTATAATGTATTTTGTTTCATTTAACTTTCATCTTCTTGCTCAAGTACAACACCAACCGAATAATCACATGCATCAGTAAACATTTGGAACGGTCTTCATCCATCTTTGGCAGCTTGCCAATCAGGAGCTTTTAGCATTGACATTTTCAGCCAATTTTTACTTCAACGTATCAAATGCTTCTTGTTGTTCATGATTCTAGTTAAACTTTACATTCTTCTTCCTTAAATCAGTTAGAGGCTTCGTGATCTTACTGAAGTTTTCAATGAATCTTATATAATAATTTACTATTCTATGGAAAGACTGTACTTCTTGAATATTAATTGTTCTTTCCATTGTTTAAACTTTTCTATTCTTTTCAAGTTAACCTTAATACCCCTTTTACTTACAATGTAACTATACATTTCTAATTCGTTAAACAAGATAAAGCACTTTTTGGCGGCAAAAGTCAAGCCAGCCTTTTTAAACACTTTAGCCAATTCTATAAATGTTTCCAAGTGTTGGTCCATGCTTCTATTGGTCCAAATGCTGATATTATCCTAATAAGCTGATGCTACATTTTTCCACTTTTTATCTTCAAGCAATCAATCCATCAGTCTCTGAAAAGTTTCACTCACATTCTTCAGCCCCATACACATTACCGTGTATCGCAATTAGTGTTTAAAATTTATATGCAGAAACTGCAGTATACATATTAAAAATTAATTCCACAACTAAATTTTTCTTTGAATTTGCGGATTTTATTATGTGTCATAAAGCTCACGCATCTTTTGTTAAAAATTTTTATTATGTTTACAGGAATTATCAAGTTTTCTGCACATTGAAACAAGATCTAATTTTAAACACTGATCGCAATACGCCAAAAGATGTGGCCACAGCAACTTTGTTCTGATCTTTCTCCTTGATGCCTATCTGCCAGTAACCTTTAAATGCATTCACTGACATGTACCAGTTGTGGCCTACTGCTTGTTCCAATATATCTCTAATAACTGGCAGTAGATAACTGTCTTTGATTATGTATTTGTTAAGCGGTTTCATATTACCAACTGCTCTAATTTTATCCATACCTCCTTCTTTTTTTTGCACCGGAAAACAGTGATAGGCATATTCACCGTATTCTTTTTCTAATAATCTATATTCCACCATTTCCTTTAAATGATTTTTAAACATTATACTCATCTCAGGATTATTTATCCTAATCGGTCGTAATCTCATCAACGAGACAATTGCATCTCCTGTTCTAACTTCATATTCGACAAGGTTTGTTTTATCTATATCTTTTAATTCATATGTGAAGACTTCTGGTATTCTTTTTATCAGTTGATTTATAATTATTGTCCTTATCGGTTTATTTCAGACAAGAGGTCCCAAGTTCAATAGTGAACAATTCTCTACAGTAAGTCTTGCTATAGCGAGCGTGTCTTTTCCCAATATTGTACCATCGTCTTGTTCTTCTTTCATATTTCAATAATTCACTTGACTATAAAATAACAATCCATTTAAACTATCACAATCAATAGGTTCGACTTCACGTGCCTTTATTTTATATTTATTTTTTGCATTATCAATAATTCTGCGTGTAGATATGTCTTCATATATATCCTTTAACTCATATACTTCTATTCTTCATACTGCCATCACATCATCAGCCTCTTCATAATCACTTCCATCGTTACTGTCAATATTGTCATTGAAATCATTTGTCTTTATTTTACCTATCCAACTCCTCTGTACCGTTGACACCACAAATGATGCTGATCTCGAGTTGAATGAAATTGTATACCAATACTCTGTCTCTTTAAACCCTAAGGTGCATTGGGCTCTCACGTTCCAGGGCATGCCCAATAATATGTCAAAACTTGCTGTCTCCATCACGTAGAATCCTTGATTCACAACTATTCTCTCTATATCGACTTCAACATTAGGTATATAGCCTACAAACTAACTGACCCTATTGTCTGCCATTTTACCTTTTCCTCTGACAGGATTCCACATCAATCCCCTATTCACGCATACTTCTTTAACATTAAATTTATGTGTGATCCCGGATCAATTGGCGCTTTAACCGATTTACCATTTATCTTTATTGTCTATACAGGTACAACTTTACCCAATTTTGGTTTATTATCCTGAATTATTCTACACACAATCCTAATTTTTACATTTTTACTGTTTACTTCATGCCTTCATAATCTCTGATCTGGCCTTAGATGACCACTTGAACAATTGTCCAAGTGTGACCGTTATCTCCATTCCTGATACTTTCCTTAAGATGTTGAGTTTGTCAGACAATTTCGAAAAGGGTAACTACATTACATTATTGTTATGTTTTGTTTTCTCATTTTCATACATCATTTCTTGAATCTTCCTCTTTTATTTGTAGAGATAGCCGTTTCGTTAATATCATTACCTCTTTTTCTCTTTCCAAACACTCGAATATCACCACATAATTCGTCACCCAATAACTCTACTTTCAAGTATTCATCATTTTCATCAGATTTTATTTCTGTAAATTCGACCAGACGTACATCAGCATTATTAAATGTAACACCTTTGTTGGTCTGAACATTTTCATGTCTCATTTCAGACAATCCTTAACAATGTAACCTTCTTGATAACACAGGTAATATGTTCTAGATTTGTTATATCATTGTTGATTCTGCTTTTTCTTATTCATATCTATCATGGTTTTTGTTACAAGATTTTTAACCATGTCTTCAACTTCATTTTAATTTAACTTTTCCTCTTGCTCAACCCAATTGATGCTAAGCACAGCTAGTCTATTTATGATACTGTCGATGTCCACATCTGCTTTATTCGATTGTGCTGTTTCTTCAGATCTTGTAGAACTATTGTTCTTATTAAGGTCTTTATCTCTTTTGTATTCATCCATTTCTAATGCTTTCTTCTTTGCCTTATCGTAGTTCTTAGGACAGTGACTTTCTATCTTTGACTGATAAGTTCTTTCAAACCTTGAATGTACCAGTCATGTTTCTCATTAGCCCTAAGTTTATTTCTGGCAGCTTCGGCATATGCCTCATATCTATTTGTGTATTCTCTTACAGATTCTTTATCATCTTGTTTTAGGTGTTTTAGCTGAACAATCTTTAATTCTGGTTCATTTTCAGCTTTAACTTTCTCTATGATTTCTTTTTTAAGTTGTCACATGTTTTTTCTACCTGCACTATTTTTCGTACCCATGTTCTTGAACTTTCAGCATATGCATATACACTCTAAAGCAAGTAGTCTCTTCATCATACTTCTTTGCTTTGGCATAACCCTCATAATTAAAGAGAAAATCTTCAATATCGTCAACTTTGGCACCTTTATATACCGGTATTGTTGTGTCTTGAAAACCCATTATATTGTATTGTTCATTTATCTTTTTTAATATTCTTCTGTTTTTAACTAATTTCAGCACCTACAGGTTCTCTAAATGCAAGAGATGATGGTAATTGCCCAGGTTCTTCTCTGTTGTAGGGTAAATGAATGTAAGGAGTTTTACACTCAAACTGCCTGATGATTTTGTTATTATTTATATACACTCGCTTTACACTTATTATATTTGTCAACTTGCAATTCCTAGTCTATACCTTACAAATATCCCTCGTAATCTGTACTCTCTAGGCGCCATGATACATTTTATTAAGTACTGGTTATTTACAAGAGAATATGATTCGAAAAGTGGGTTCAATCTCTACGATCGAACCTCATATTTATTTACTTTACTTTATTATGCATTATTACATTATCGACAATAGACTATACTATTACAGACTTTTCATTGTTTGCCATACATTTGATCATGCTCATTGTTACACTAACCACATATCGCATTGTTACCCACAATAATAATAATTAATTAATGCCCCGGTACCAAATGCAAATGTTACCAATTAATCTCTGTCACTATTATAAACAATAAATCAAATTAACTACCTTTTTTCTAAGTCAACAGGCAAGGCAATTGTCAAGGAAGTATTTAAAATAGCAATAATAAGTACTAAAATAGTGTAGTTTAATTTCATTGTGACTGTATTAGACAAAACGAATTATCAGATAGAATGAAATTTAACGCATTTATGAGCTCAAGTTGTATTTATAATTTAAAAAGCTGGGATTTTTTATCTGTCTGTGGGCTATTATCTCTCTATTCGATTTAATCTGTGAATCAATTAATCTCATATTTGCATAGATCCTGCATAGTGATACAAATGGCTAGCTCAGACCGGGTAGTAGCTAACTAAAACTTAGCTAAATTGCATTTTAGCCGAGCCATTTTTAGCGAGCAGATCAAAAGCCACAGATTTAATTTTTGTTAAAAAAATTTAGTTTCAATTATTTTTAGTATTAGTACATGAGCAGATATTTTGGTGGCTAGAATTTGGATCCAGTTATCTATTGGATAGAAATTTAATTGTAAAATCCATTAGATATCCATTAAATTTAATATGAAAACAGATAACAGATCCAAGCTTTATTAATGGCAAATATGAGAAACAACAAAATAATGATAATAACAATAATAGGATAAATAAATAAATGAACTATTTATAATGACAAAGCATTATTGTAGTTATAGTTTCATTGATAGAATCAAAAGTTATACCATATGTACCTTGTTGATCTTCCCAATTTTGCCTAAATAAGGGGAATAGATTAGGCGCAAAGCCAAAATTCAGCAGGAATTAATACAGTCGTCCTCCCATACAATCACACAGTTGGGCACATAGTAACTTTTTTTTAAAATATGCTTATAGAGGGGTTGTGCTTATATAGAGAGTTTTTCTTATAAATTAAATTATAGTCTGGCCTAAATAAAAATGTGATTATATATGATGTGATTATATGGGAGGTGACTATATAGAGGAACGACTGTAATTTTTTCTAAATTTTTATTAATAAGCTGGCAGCCTATATATTAATAAAATTGCTCAGCTACTAACTTTGCTATATTATAATTCTAGTATGGCTAGCCAGCATTATTGTTTAATGCCGGCCAAACTCTGGCCTATTCCGACCCTAAATTCAGACCGATCAGCTGCGCTACTAATCGATCTCTTAAAATGCACATCAAGAAATTGCCCGATGACTGATGATCATCAGATAATCATGAGATATATCATTCTAAACGGTGTTTTTTAAAACTTCTAGCAAATATTTCTCAACACCTGCTTGATAAAATTAGGCAAAATTTTATATTTTAACTTCATAGCTTTGTAGAATTAAAACCAATGATGTGCTATTTATATAATACCTGAAAAATTTTAGTGTACAGTACGTACTGTACATACTGTACGTATAGTTCTTTTATGGCATCTGATTGGCTGGAACAAGTGATCGGCAAGAATTTTAGTGTACAGTACATACAGTACGTACCGTACTGTACGTATAGTACTAAACGCGGCACATCACTAATTAAAGCAAACAAAATTAATTGTGATTATATTTGGTAGTTAGCGAGAAACCATCACCAAAAGTTTAAAATAAATCGGGTAAGTTTTCTTTGAACTTTAAACGAAGATTATTTTTTTATTTTAATTCCATATGAACATAAGATTACAAAAAATTCTAATCAAATTCGATCAGATAAGTGCCGAGTAATCTTCGTTCAAAGTTTAGTAGCCTATAAAAAAAATGTTGTGACCAAAATTTTTTAATTTATAATAAATATTTCTCGAAACCCAGCTATCCAAATATGATCAAAATATTTTATTTTAATTCTATCTATACATAGAATTTAAATAAAAAAAAATTCATCAAATCCGGTTAGTATGTTGTTGAGAAATCTTTGTTTAAGTTCAAAAAAAGGAAAATTTACCTGATTTTAGTTTATTTTTCTGATATTTTAAGTTTTTTTTTTTTAATTTTTTAGTGATAGTTTCTTGCTGACTTGAATATAATTCAATGAACTTTTTTTGTTTCAATTCTACTAAATTATAGAACCAAATATAAAAATTTTCTGAATTTGAATTAGCAGGTATTTGGAAAATATTCTCTAGAAGTTTTAAAAAACACTTCGTTTAAGATGATATATCCCGTGATTATCTGATGATCATTGATCATTGGGCAATTTCTGGCTTTAATGACCCCAAATAAGAAATAGATACATACTAGCTCTTAAGACCCGGTCGGTGACCGGGGTTCGAGTTTCTAATTTTTTGCTAATTCTTAGGCCTCAACGCTATTAGTTT